AATGGCACATTCAAGTTAAAGCTACAACTGAATTTTGAAACCATTGTGTTTCTACATATGCTGTACAGGTATAAAGAATAATTTTGCTCAGGTGGGGAAAAATGTCTGCCTAAAGAAGAAAAAAGTTTTGCTCAGCAAGAAACAAAATTAGAGAGAACATTGCCCCTAACCCCCCAACACCAGACATCACCAGCTATGCGTTCTAGAGTCTACTGCAAAATTTGCAATACACATAAAAAAGGACATTGGCTCCATTTTACCCACAACCAAACCGTCGCCAACTGTATATAGTATTTTCCCGTGGGTTGTGGATGTGGATGTCCCTATGCCATATCAGCTGAGTTATATCTCTGTAGTTGTAGTGAACCCCCAAATGATGCAAGTATGAATCAGTGTTTTAATGTTTGCAGGCCCAGTCTGTTTGCTATTGAAATAATCTCTTCTCGTGTCTTAAAGACCCTCTGTGGTCAATAATTGTATTGCTTAGAACTCATTTTTGCTCACCAAAATGACATATTTAAATGGTTTTTTCAATGTAAAACAAAATTATTGATGCCTTTAAATGGCTTGAATGTAACTACACCCTTGATTCATTTAATATACGTCATGAATATGCAAGTTAGCTCTGCCTCCAGTCACTGACACCAGCTCAGAATAGCTGATCTACTCACTTACTGAGGGAAACGCTGCACAATGGTATCGCTTTTTACAACGTCGAACACACAAAGGTAATTAATATGATTAGCCTTTGGCTTGACTACATTATCAAACAGCTAATAATGTGTTGCTAACACAAACTATTTTTGCTTTCGCCATCTCCCAAATGCCTTTTTGTAGCTCAAACAGTTGAGCATTGATGCTTGTAATGCAAAGGTCAAAGGTTCGATTCCCAGGAAAGCAAGAACTACCGTATATATCTGAATATAAGACAAGGTTTTTGTTCTAAAAATTGGCTGAAAAATGGGGGGTCATCTTATATTCGAGTCAACGGGGTAATCCATCGACCGGAAGTTGAAGCCAGCCGGGTGCCGCCATCTTGTAGCAGAACTTCACTTGAGTTAGCATTTCCGTTGACTCCCATTCATTTTGGCGTCACTTTGACAGTGAATAACTTTACATCTGAGACGTTTGAAGACCCCATTATTTATTTTTTAAAGAAACATGACAATGTATAAAATGCTCCATTACCTTGTAGCTTATAATATGGCCTCGTAGAAGCATTTTTTTTTTTTTTTTTTTTTGTAAAATTAGGCTAACGATTGCATCATAACCACACGACGGTCTCCGCCGACTAGCGGGCCTCTGCATGCGAGGCATTGGGAATAATGTCTCGGAAATTTGCTCTTAAAAATATTTTCTGTTGAAAAACTGATTTTTTTAAGTGGTCGTCTTATATTCAGGGTTGTCTTATATTCGAGTATATAGGGTAATACGAATGTAAATATTACTGTAAAATGTATCATTCTATTTTTACCATACTTGGGTGTAAAACTGCACAAATTCTTCCAAGCATACAAATACGGTAAAAACTCGCATCTCTGATTGGTCACCTCTCTAAAAATGGGTGTGATGGATTGATTGGCTTTAAGTCCAGAAACATCTTGGCTCAATGTCTTTGAGGCATCACACTTCCGGAGTTTTATCAGCAAATTACCTTCAAGTTACCTAGGTTGGATTCAACCTGGACCATCCAGCACTCCTAGCGAAATCATCAAGAATCTCCGAACTCTACCGCATCTAGACTCTTGTTCAACCGAAGTCAATGCAAGTAATCATTTTGCGCCTTTTAAAATATGATTCTGATTTTTTGATGGTTCTCATAGGCTGTGGTTAATCAGTTAAATCTTGCTCTTTTTTTAAACTTTTCTTTATTATTTCTTTATTTATTATCTTTGCTTAGTACACGTAGTTTACTTATTAAACTCATTATATCCAACCCTGATGTAAACACCATTTTTGCATGATAAAGAAGGTTTTTTTTTAATATCCTGCATTGAACACTTTTATCCTAAAGTATCAAGGAAATGATTTGAATCTTCCTAATATGACCCGTCTAAAGATCTTGGAAGCAGACTTGGTTATTTCCTCCAGGGGACGGGGTCCACCGCAGCCTCACTAAAATGCCACCACCACAAGCTTGTGACCGTGCCCTGTCTGTCTGGATTAGTTCTCTTCCAGGCTGTAGGCGAGGTTTGTGTATCTGTGTGTGCATATCTCTGGCTGTCTTTCTGCGCTAGTAACGCATAAAGTCACAGCCGGTCTCTATTTAGCAACAATACCTTACACCACACTTCTCTTAGTAATGTGGATTCTGGAGAATTTAGGTCAACGTGTGCCAGAAGGGAAAAGGGAGGGAATTTTATAGATTTTAAAGTTACACTTGGAAGATTAGATATGATTTATTTATTTTTTTTACCAATCTATTTTCAAACACGCCTCCTGGGGCACACTAAAGAGCGTCAAGATTTCTTTAAAACTGAAGACAGGAATTTGGTTGCAATTCGCAAACTTGATGTCATTTTAGCTTGTTAAAATGCATAACGTCAACAAAAAGGTTAGCCGTCTGATACTGTCATGTTTTTACCCCCATAAAACTTCTTTCAAAACCAGTACTTTTTATTTAGTCTAGTAAAACAATGTTATCACATTGAAAAAGTCACTGGTACTTCCATGCATTATTATTATTATTAGTATTAATTTGACTGATTTAATGTAATATTTTCATTTGTTAATTGTAATTGATTTAAATATTCTACATATTGAATGAATACATGTGCACCATATTCACATAATTTATATTTATTATAAATGTAAATATTTTGTGTATTTATTATCCTAATCTTAAATAAAAGTTAACATTTATCTCTTGCTGCCTAATCTACAGTAACATTCCAGTCGTGCTACAGGTTGACTAGCCTATAAACACAGTACCGATACACATTTTATTCATCCCACTGATTCACTGAGCTTACATTTTGTGTTTGTGCCACTGTATCGGACTGACTCAGGGATATCGCTTGCCCTTGGCCATGCAGTGAGCCATTGGAATCCAATAATTGTAATTTTGGAATTGGGTCTTGCTGACTATAGTGTATCTAGTCAAAGGAGATAGAGGAGCCCCCTTTGGCCAATTAATCCTTCTTAGCATGGTCTTAATCAATGGGACACTGTTTATCTGAACCAAATTTCCCCCTGTAATTGAGCAGAGGATTGGTAATCAGAGCTCGCCTGCTGGTGAAACTGAGATCTAATATAAAGTTTGAGTGGTTTTTAAACAACCTGTGCATAGAGCTGTCTTTTATATCACACTATAACTAGCCTAGAAATCTAGACGCACCCCTAGCGGCCACCTCATTGCAGTACACGAGATCCAGTGGACGGAGTTGGATCCAGATCAAAGGGGTGGAGATGGGTAGGATTAGGGGTGGGGTTAGGGATCAGGGGGAGGAGATGGGTAGAATTAAGGGTGGGGTTAGGGATCAGGGGGTGGAGATGGATAGGTTTAGGTATATGTAAGGATTTCGTGTTCTGCAGTGAGGACCATCTCTTAACGGCAGCAAAAATAATTTTGCAATGTGGTCACCGTGGTCACTGAAAAATAATTTCCAGTGTGGTCTAGCAACTCTCCGTTGGCTTGCGAGCTGGAAAAAAACAAACTCTGGACAGGCCAATCACATCATGTATAGAGTTAGTGGGCGGACTTAACATAATGACAGCAGAGTTCTGATGGTTCTGCGTGATTTCCATAGGTGATTTCCCAGCTACTTAACAAAGAAGATGCTGCTGGCGAGCAGCGGTCTTTCAAATCGGCTTTGGCCGCGACTATGGAGGACTTGGAGTTAAAGGAGTAGTTCACTTTTTAAAAAAAAAACTTTTGCTGAAAATTTACTCGCCATCTGGTCCCTGGTGTGCACCAAACAAACATTTTTCTCCATATAATGCACTTTACTAGGAACCAAACGATTCAAGGTCCAAAAGACACTTTCAGTTAAAACTGCAAACTGTTCAAAGGGCTTTAAACGATTCCAGTCGATGAATAAGGGTCTTATCAAGCGAAATGATCGCTCATTTAAAAAAACAAACAAGGTTTAACTTTTATATGCTCAAATGGTCGCCTTGCTCTATTCTGTGATGCGCGTTCATAGGAAAAGATTTGTTTTGTTGATTTTGACCCTTATTCATCATCTGGAATTGTTTAAAGCCCTTTGAACAGTTTGTAGTTTGCACTGAAACTGTCAAGTAATAAAGTATTCTCGTGAGTGTATAATATGCCATTGAAAATACATACGGGTAAGGGGTTCTGATGTCGGTTGCCATGTTTCCTCTCCATCTTGAAAGTACATTAGGCAAAGAGGGACATACCCGTTAATTCAAGCTTCGGCTTCCGCGATTACGTTTGAGTTAACACTCATGGACGAGGTCGAACTGGAAGCCATGTTAATATTGGACTACATTGGCCACCGTAGGACTTAAAACGAAATTGGAATTGAGAGGAACAGAAACTAACATTCACTGGATGGTTATATACCTTTTCACCGCTAGATGGGGGTAAAAATCACACAGTGTAGCTTTAAGTCACTTAAGTCATTCTTAAAAAACGAAGATGTGTTCAGAGTTTTGATGACCAGATTGTTCAAGTTTAAAATATCAACTAACTCCGCTGGTGGAAAAAAGCATGAGACTCACTCATCCACTGCCGTTTGTAGCTCTGGTTGGTTGTAGCGCTATCCTGTTGCGTGCAGAGGGATTTTGAAAGACAACTATTCAGATTGAGGCATGCCAATTGTGAGTTCCCAGGCCTAACATCTTGATGTAGATCTGGCTTGCCAGGCTACACTATAACGGCTATTTCCTGAAATCTGATGCATGCAAGTCAGCAAAACAATTTGCTTTCCTTTGGGAAAAAGTAGAGAGAAAACTCTAAGGAATCATTTAAAGTACACCTTGCAGGTGTTTTCATCTTCTCCATAAACCTATAATAGCAAATAGGCTGTTCTTACCGTTTTTACAGATGGGGCAGCACTGTTCTGGCTCATACACTGGGTTGACGCACTCTGGTACTGCACAGTCAGCGACCACACAGTGCACCTCGTTATTTGGCTCGCAGCGACACCATTCACAGGGCGAAGGCTGGAAAGACAGAGAAATATGATGCGGTGAGAGACTCTTAAAGTAAGACACCACAGTGAAAGTCAACATGAAATCCAAACTGACCCTATTTGTGAGTCTATGGCATGTTTGCTTTGATTTAAACGAAACCTTTTGCGATTGCTCTGTTAGTGCAGCGCACTCTCATCCCAAGACGTCATATAACTGACGTCTTGGGACGTCTGTTGACCATACGTCAACATCCGCCTTTTTAGGGTACCCTTAAACGTGCGGTTCAGTTCAATTAGTGTGAATGCTGTCATCTGAACCCTGGTGTGCACCAAACAAACATAAACAGGAAGATGAGACCCTAAAAAGGACAGATTGCCCATACAGTAACTGTTTTTTTCTCTTCGTAGTCGAGATGTTGCCCATCTCGCTTCGGTATAGGTATCAGAACCTCGTCTCCTCGCAGCAGATCGTTTGTGTGTGTGATGGAGGAATTCCTGCAACTCCTTTACGCATTGTATAAGCTCTTCAAAAAGTTCTCAGCTGGTCAAAATACCATCATACTGTATGTAGGCTACACACATACAATGAGTGCCTTTAGCGCAGAGCACAGCATTGTTTTTCGTGTTCTGTAAGTTCCATCTCAAAATAGGCAATACGTCATGAAAGCAAACCAATTAGGGGTGCGTTTCCCGTACAGCGACGTACAGTAGTTCACTGTTTCACTACCATAGTACTATGCATCGTTGGAGAAATCAACTAGCTAGTCACGAATGTTTCCCGAAACCCACTGTCGCAAAGTATCGTTCAACCACGTTGGTTTCGCACGTGGTGGAGTAATGACTACTCTTAATGAAACTGTTTGAGATCCAATTAACGCTAGATTTGTTAATATAAATTACAGACATGTCATCTGAGGGCTATGTCTAATTGTTCTCAGTTATTTTGCTTTATTACCAGACTCAATATTTGGCTCATTCTTACATAGTAGAGCACATGCGAACATGCGCACTCTTCAAACACGTTACTTCAAATCTTTTGAAAAACTAAAAGACGTAAATTACATTGTATGTATTCTAAATAAAAGGCACCGGTTGTACTGAATGTCAGCTTGCTTATTTTGCTCAAGATAAGAATTTATTACGTCCAAATATGATGCAATATAGAAACAATGCCTCTAACCACAGGTCGAGAGTTGTCGTTCAAACCACACAACTTTGCGATGCTGAAACGATGGTTTCGGGAAACACCGACTCGTTAAAATATGCAGACAACGACGGAACTTGCGACCATTGTTGGCTAACGATGCTTTCGGCAAACGCACCTGAACAAATCCCTATGCCTTTAAGTTGGTATCTTTAGGTTTGATGATGAAAATGCCAATCTGACCGCTAAGCGGACCAGGACTAAATGTTTTTTGTCTTGTTGTGGACCTAAGCAACCAAGCGAACCAAACTATAAGTGTGAACACACCCTAAAAAGGTAAATGAAAGTGCAATTAGTTGCTTTGTGTCACAAATCTCTCTCCCTTTTCTAGGGATGGGAATCGAAAACTGTTTCCACTTCTAAATTTTATGATCCATCGATTTTGTATGCCCTCGACGTTAACGAGTCCTCTTATCGATGCTCCTGCTCTGAGTCAACCAGCATGTAGGCTACAGACAGTGAACTCACAACTGTCCCTTTTGTCCTTTATCAAGCACCATAGCACGGCGTCCAAAGCGATTTTTTATTTTTATTTATTTATTTATTTTTTGTACCACCAAAGCCTTATTTGATCAGTGAGTAAAATTGTTTCTCTCTGTAGTTATGAATCGCTGCGCTTAAAGGTGCCATCTACCATAATAAATCAAATCCTACTCCATATTCCATAACAGATGGGGGCAGTATACCTCCAAAAAATGACTTGTGCTCCTACCATCGCGCATGTTATTCAAATCATTTGACATGATAGTAAAAGGTTGGAAGACCGCAGTTTCACGTGGAACATTTGGAGATTTTTAGAGATCAGAGACTCAATGAACTAAACACTAGAGTGAACTAAACTAAACACTATGAATCTCAACACTAAATGATGAAGACCGCCTCATAGATCTCAAAAACAAGCTGGTGCATTTCGACGGTATGGGAAAATAAAAGCTTGGGCAATTATTTGAAGTTTATGGTATTCGTTTTGTTCATATTACACTTTTATTGTTAGTGAATTAATTTGACAGACAGCATTCGCTGATGTTGATCAAGCTAGCGCCGTGAATTCACCGTGAGACACACGCAATTGACACTTAGCAAGCAGGTTAGTTAAGCTCTCAGATTCTGTCAATTATATTACGCAATTCAAAGAATAAATACCGTTTTGGCGCTTGTACATGTTACACTACAGATCCCTAGCGCACGTGAACCGATCGTCTCTACTAGCTGGAAAAAGAACATGAACTCTGTTGAAAGATACATGCTACAACTTACCAAAATGTATTCCTCATGCATAATGTCGACCAATCATTTTTTGAACTCTTCCCTGAACTGAAATGTAGTAGTGGGCTGTATTTCCACACGACTGACATCAGGTTCAAGTACACACACACACACACACACACACACACACAAGCCGGCGCGAGCGCGACTCACTCGCGTATTGCAGTTTGGCTGGTGCTAACGTTGCCCGTCCGCATACCGCCTCCCATGGCCGGAACTGGTATTACGATACCTGCCGGGCCGGGGCTAGTAATTTAGCATGCTAATTCAGGTTAATATCTCGGCAGCACTATAACTTGTCAGTTTTTTAATGACATCTTTGCACTTATTTATTCTCATTCTTTTGATGCGTGTAGCTCATTTTTCGTATATTGTTACCTCAATTATTGTATATGGCACCTTTAACGAGCAGGGAGGGAGAGATAGAGAGAGCCCCGGTCGTGCGCGCTTACTCTCTCGCTTAGGCTTCACCGTCTCAAAACTAAGCGCTGTCTTGCTCTCTCTCTTTCCCTCGCACATATAAATTAAAATAATCGACACGATGGAAAGGTCGGGAGACTAAAGTTTCATGTGGAGCATTCAGAGATTTGTTTTTCCTGAATTATCCCTGGGTGTGAAGTGCTAAAATAGGCCTGCGTTGCCTTATCTTCTCTGAAAAGCGTTTCGCACATTCAACTGAAACCAAACTTCAAATAAATGGAAAAAAAAAAAACGATCCAAAGATGAAATGTTTTCTGTGATGACACACATCTTGTGGGATGTCCCAACCACTAAACACACAACGCGCTAGGGGTTTCATCAACTAGTCGACTAGTGGACTGTCACAACCACTAGTTGGCGCTGTTGGCCTTAGTCGACTAGTCGGAAACAAAATGATCACATATATAGATTAATTTATTTTTTGTAAACTATTATACCCTTTAAGTATAAGCGGCAGTACTATATACTATAAGCACTATAAGGATTAATTACACTAATTACATTTTTCATACGTTTGACTGGGTTTGCGTTATGCATCCACTAGATGTGTTAAAGGGAATGCAGCGAGTGCGCGGCTTCGGAGGTGAGACGTTTATTTAGTAAGCGTGAGCGCGCAGGGGCGGGCACGTAACTTACATTCGCAGCCTAACTTGCTGACAGCTGGCTGTTTTGAATGAGACGACCCGATTACTGTGAACGGGGAGCACTTTATGCACATTCTGTGACGCGCGAGCAGTACCGGGGACAGTGTGTCTGTTCGTGTGTGTGTGTTAGAGAGAGCGCTCGTGAGCGGGAGACACACATAACCTGATTTATACGAGGTTGAACTGGCCGCGTGACAAAGCGGGCATAAGATGGACACGAGCGGGAGCAATTGATCCATATATAATGCTCTCCGGATTTTAAGGCTTGAGAAAAGGCCGGATTGAGAAAATTAAAGGCTTTTAAGTGCGCTTTATAGTGGGGAAAATACGAGTACTACTCTCGCTTTTAGACCAGCACGTGACGTGTTTAATATAGACTCATATTACACCAGATTTTCTCTCAAATGTTTGCTTTCACTTTAGACATAGCCAATTATGTTTATTTAACAGTATTAGCATAATAAGACTCAAAAGATAACTTAGTCCAGTATTCAGGCGCTGTTTGACAGGCTTCTAGTGCCTGTGAGCGTCGGGGGTATGCCGCGCGCTCAGGAAAGCGCACGTTAGAACAGCGCGTGAATTAAATGTTTAACCGGCAAGGCTTATGCAAACAATGAACTTTTGTGAATTGCATGATGTGTAGGCTACGTCGCGTTGTACAGTTGAGACAGAGGCGCCAGAACTGAACTGATAGAATGCACTGTAACACGATACTACCATATTTCTTCAAAAGCAGATCGTGGAGACATTTACTATTCATGATATTGCACACCCCTAGAATAAACCATTTAACGACTAGTCGTCGACTGTTATGCAAAACTAGTCGACTAGCAAAAATCAGCAGTTGTGAAACCCCTACAACGCGCACATGTCCGATAATGACACGTTCAACCAATTCGCGAACTAATGACTCATTTGAACCGATTCATTTTAGTGAATGGTTAAATCAACTGAACTGATCTTCCAACACTGAACTCATGGGACGTTTAACCGGTGTATGATTAATCATAACACTTTTCAATAAGGTTCCATTTATTATATAAATTACATCAAAAGTACAGTTTGCTCAGTCAAGTGTAAGGTTTAAAACAAATAAAACCACTTGTTTTTTGTTTGTTTTTTTCCCAAAAAAGCATATGACTACTTTGTCCCACACAGTGCTATCAGGAATCTATAAGAGAATAGTTAAAGAATCGGATCGATAAGCAGAATTGTTAGTGGCATTGATATTGATAAAATCTTATCAATTCCCATCCCTACCCTTTTCAACTCACCCCTCTAACCCCTCCTTTATCACCCCTCTGATAAAAATATATAGTAAAGGGGCCCTTTCACACTGAGCGTGACGCGATAAAGCTATGCGAATCCCCAAGTATAAAGCTTTCACACTGTACATAAAATGATTGATTGCCTTCAGCTAATGGGCTATATGCACGC